CGGGACCCCCCCCCCTGCCACTGGCAGCTTCCTCATCTGCATGCTGGGGCAGCTTCCGAGACAATTACTGGCAGATAACCCCAAGCAAGCAGCACTGCTGCCTTTGCTCCCTGGCTCACAGCCAGCTTGCCTTCACATCCTGGAAGGAGACCTCCTGTGCTGCCAAAGCTCACCTCAGCAGCTTGGCCGTGGTGCAGGGGAGAGGTGGTCCACACCTGATCCCTACCTCCCTGGGATTCCCACAGGACCTGGGGGCAGACACATTCAAGACACCCTATCAAGACTGAGAAATATGCAACAAGTGACCCAGCAGCTCTTGCTGTGAGTGCCACTGTGGCACTGTGCCACGTGCCAGGAGGGGCAGGACGTTTGCTATTGACACTCAGCAACTCAGTAAAACATCATTCCACCCTCCTGCCCTTCTCTTCTCAGGGTGGGGGTGCCCCCAGAGCTGAACGTGACCCTGCAACATGGTGTAAGCTCAGTACCAGGGGCAAGATACAGCCCTGCATCCCCAAGTGCATGCAAGGGCAGACCATTAAGATCAGGCAGTGATTGCCTGCCTGCACAAAGGATTCCCAGCACCAGCACACACTTGTGTGGTGCAACCCAATATACCCAGCAGAGCCAAAAATATAGCGGGTCTGCAGTTCATTTTGGGGCACCAGAAGGCAGTACAAAGGGAGAAGGCAGCTGCATCAGAAAGCAACCCCTGAGCATGTATAACGGCCCACGTGGATGCCATGCTCTTTCTGCACACATTCACCTGCCCAGGGCTAGACCAGCTCCACCAGGCCATCAGCAGAGCCCAGGGATGCTTGGCCACATGCTCCAGCCCAGCCACCTGCAAAAACTAGCCCCAGCACCATCCTTCCCCTCCAGCCTGTCATTTTATTGCTCTGACCTGACATACCTTCCAGCCATGGGGTTAAAGTACAGACACCTGCCACAAGCCCAGGTGAGCAGAGTGGAACATGGCCACAGGGAAAGCCTGGGAGCTTTTAAAAGTCACTGTGTGGCCCTGGCACCTTGAGCAGCCAGCTCAGAGAAATGCTGTCACATGAGCTTTTTATTTTCAGGTGAGGATTGTCAAGGCTTTGTTGCATGGGGTGTGAGGAAGGGGAACAGCCAAATCCAAGCACTGGTAACAAAAGCAGGCACAGGTCTAGGGGAGAAGTGCTCAGAGTGAAGGGACCTCAAAACAGCTCAGAGGCACCATCCCAGGGAGCAGCCTCCTCCTTCCCGATGGCATGCAGCAGTGGCCAAAGGCACTGCATCAGGTGCAGGTGCTCAGGGCAACCACTCCTCCTGCTAGCCCTTCCTGGTTTTGTCTTTGCTTCTTTCCACTCTTAGTGACTGGCAGGGCCCTACAGGCACCTGGTCTCCTGAAACATGTACAAGCAGCCTCTCTCCTCCCCTGGAACCTCACAGAGATCAGATGCAGAGCACATGTGCACTCATGCAGCACCCCATAGGCAAGCCCTACCCACACTCACATACAAGAGACAAGTGCCATCTTCTGCCAGCAGGGAGGAACTTCTCAAAGGCCATTTTCACCAGCATCTCCTCCTTTGGGCATCCTGTGATCCAACCCTCCTGCTCTTTCTACAGCCATGATGTACACAGAAAAGCCACACATTTGGGAGCACATGTTCCTCTGAGGGGACCCAGCCTCACATGCACCTGGGGCTCACACCAGGCCTTCAAGCCTCTGGAGTGCTGAGGTCAACTCCTAAGATACAACAGCCCGTGTTTCACAGCAGCAACACTGCCTCCCAGGATGGCTGCAGCCTGTGTGCCAGGTACTGCTGCCCATAGGTGTCAGGAGCCATCACAGAGCTGGAAAGCCACTCTCTACAAAGCAGTAACACTTCAGGCTCAGTCTAAAGAGTTTTTAAAACATTTTGTCCTGTTTGACATTTAGGAACCACTCTTCATTGGCATCTTTGCCAAATCTCAAGTGGCAAAGGGAGTCAGAAATGGAAGTACATTAAGTGCTTCCTGGAAAAAAAAAAAAAAGCCAAACCAAACAAACCTCACACCCACAGCACACCCCTGAGCAGCACTAATGGCTCCACGCCCCACTGGCTTCTGCCATTGGATGGAGGAGAACAGTGGAGACAAGGACCCGCAGGGCACAGCCCAGCTATGCCACCAAGGGGGCACGAAGTGAAGGGGCGGCAGGGGCAGCAGGCTGGCCTCAGTGGAGAGGACCAGAACTGCTGGAGGAGAAAATCATCCGCGCCCGGGAAAGACACATTCTCCGGGGGGTGTGAACTGCCGAATCCCGGTGACTGGAACAATGGCAACAGCAGAGCAGCAGCCCTGCGAGCAGCTCCTGGCCCCTCATCCACATGCGGGACACTCTCCCCAGCGCTCGCCCTCC